ACAGCTGACACTGATGATGATGATGATGATGATGATGATGATGATGATGATGATGATGATGATGATGACGAAAGATACAAACCAGAGAGCTCTGATAAATCCGAACTCAGTGCATCTGGCTCTTTGGGTACACCAAAGTGAATAATCGTGACAGAATAAAAAATACTTTTGAAGTTAAATATACCAGGCAGCATTTGCGATTTAGCGATCAGAATCTACTAGCAGAGTTTGGGGTGATACATGGAATTTCCCCCTCAAACCGTGGCCTGGAAGTCCTTATGATAGTCAGTATCTATTAGCAACTGGTGGAACCCACGCAGAACTCACGTGCCACTAGACAAAAGTAACCGTTAAAAATAACTAAATGTCGTCTAGGTAAGAAAGGTCTAATTTCTTGTGTTGATCCTTGAACATGTGACGTAAAATTCATACGATGTTCAGAACTGATGTTTACTCTAATTTGTGCACTGTATTAATTTATACCCGTAATCTGGGAGCAGGATGGCTAAAGTGGTTAGAGTGCGAATTTACTGACCGGAAGGTCCGTGGTTGGAACCCGACCTGTGCCTCTCGACTTCCCCTGTCTAAGCTTGGACAACCTGGGAGTATCCCAGCCTTTGTGCTTCCCTTGGGTGGCATGGCACCAGCGGGGTGTTACGGCTGAACGATACTCGTAAGCTCTGTAGGTATTTGTCACAAGTTGCACAAGCAAAGGATTCAAGACAATAAATTGCGCTTGGTCACCCTTACTTTCCAATGTGAGCAGCAACAAAACCAAAACTTACACGGGTGAAAGCAGTTCTTCCACAAGTTTCTCTTGGTCACGGAAACACTGCAGAGATGTCATGGTCCCAAATATGTCCGGATCAATGTCAGCGCGGGTTGGAATAACTGCCGTTTGCACGGCTTGGGTCATTGGTAATTCCAACTGGAGAGGCATGGAAGTATCACTAGAGGAAGGAACAGCAATGACCTGCGGTTAACACCAACTACGCAGAAGGGATGTAACAATTACACTAGAGTTTCCATTATTAGATGGAATTTATCTCTGAAAACTATAGACTGTCAATTTTGCACTCAATTCCATTCGGTGTATACGAAGTACCGGTTTACTACATAAACTTTGTCATAATTAGCCCCATAATTAACGACTAACTGGGTAATGGAAGCATGGTAAGGGAAGTGACGAAGGGGATGTTGTTTGCGAATATTTACACACGCAGATATGCACACTAATTTGAGCGTTGAGCTGATGTCGGTGAAATATAGGATGCAAAACTGTTGATGAATACCACAGGCGTCATAGCTGTAGTTTTGCAACTGTTTGTTCGAAGAAACAATAGGTAGGTTAGGCGTTCGAACAACTGTTTATTCGAAGCAATGGACGATGGAACCAAATGAACGTTAGGAAGACATTGTACACTTTCACCTAACACATTAGGTAATTGCAGTTTAATCCACCAAAATGTAGGAAAAATATGTGCGACAGCATTTCACATCGTTTGGCTTGCGGTTTGGGTCAGATGACCGGACATGTGTAAGATGCCTACCGGAGACAGGCCAAATGGATACCGAAATGAGGTTTGAAATAGCTGTGCTTGCTCAGTCTATAAAATCATTCACAAACATACTGGCAAGGAAATTGTTACATACTGACAAGAAAAAGAATCAAGTTTACAAAGTATTTGAGCATACACAAGAGTAAAATTTTGATGGTTATACAAAGATGCGATTTTCTAGTGATTCTTATGTTTGCTTATTCTTTAAAGCTAAAACGTGCATTAGTTGAATATTAAACCACCAGAATCAAAAGTGTCAGCCAGAAACTGCCATACTTACCTGGTAACCCATCTGTGCTCCAAAACTTCTTTTAACTAAAAAGCAAGAAAAAATATAAAGCAATAGCAAATGGAATGTATGGTAGCATAAGCTTACAAGTCGTAAACAACTAAGGTTTAGAACAAGAAATAGTGGACCGTTTGACTCAGACATTAACTTAGGGAATTATTTTATTTCATGCATAAATGCGCAGATGTAGTATTGAACCTTCAGAAATAATTTGATAATTAAGAACTATTGGGATGACTGGATGTTAAGATGTCGTCTGTGCACAAAAACTCAGCGTCACAAAATTTTCTGAGTACCTTGGAAGAGTAATTTAATGAAATCCGAGTACCTAATCAGTTCAAATCCAATGAAAATCTAGTTGAATTCCAGATCAACAGCCGGATGATCATCGGGTAATTTTTTTTTCGTTTTCATTCACGAAAGTTATAGTTCAGCGTGCTGTTTCGTCCACATACAGTAGGTAAACTGCAAATTCTGTTTGACTGTGGAGTATGATTGTTTTACCTTGAGCTAGTTCTTCCCTACAACCATCGGTCAAAACAAAGAGAGTCATTGTTGACTAGTGTCAGTAACATCAAATGGAAGATGTATCTCCCACCTATTGCATCTATGTGCAACAGATCAATTTTTTTTTACCAAGAATGACGACTTGCAGATTGTTCCGAAAATAAATCTACCGCATTATGCTTACGTGGTGGAAGTCAAAATTCATGGTTGAACCACTATTGCGGGTGACGTTTAATGACGCTTCTTTCAACTGGTTTTCGCTTAATTCTGTGCTGAATAAACGAAGCCATGGTGTAGGCACTGTGTAGACACTGAAAGTTCGACTCCGCTGTAAGATTGGATTCCGAACCGAAATTTCACAAAATTCTGTTCACTAGTTTATAAACCGGTTTATCCGATTTGTGATGTGATTCCAGGAGAGAATTTCTTCCGCATTTGTGCTCATTGGCATTCATGGTCTTGGATGGATCAGTTACACAACTTTGCTATTCGAAGTTCACGTACCCCATCAAATACAAACGCAATATACCCGGACCAAAAATGACCAACTCTTCCTCATGTTATCAGTAACTTCTGTTCAGCCCCCCGGCCCTCACTTACTTTGTTGTTAGTACTCTTCCAATCATGTACTTTCAATCTCATCGTTCTTCCTTTATTATCTGTATCCACGGAAACAATTGCAAGAGTCGTAACGCTCCAGTTAATAAGTGGGGCCCATATCGTTCAACCAGCACGTCTCATCATTAAATTCAGACTCCGGTAATCTAGGTTTTAATGTTTATCAGCAGGTCACTTTTGCAGAAAGCCATTCTTTGACAGTCGATCCGTAAGTTCCATAATAAATCCAAATGAAAGAAGCATACATTCACCAGTGCTACCAAAATGAATATAACACAGAATAAAGGAAACAAGTTTGTTTTCACGCCCGAACTGATGAGCTTGGATTCATCACAGGGATTGTGAAGTGGTATTCGTTGTTTTTAAGAGAATAACTAGCACAAACGCTGTCCCTAACCCTCAACCATTCTCAGCCTCATCCCTATTTCAGATGATAATATATCCTCAGTAGTTCGAGAGAAACTGAAATGCTAGCCTAAATTCTGCCAATTGATAAACTTCTCCGGGTTTGGTACATTTTCTCATCTACTAAAACGTTTATTTGATAAGATGATTGAGACTCAACTGCAAATCAATAATGTGCGTTTTACCAGCTATCCTCTACTTGAATTATCGGAACTATTTATACTGAACACATTACCAAAGTATTACCCCACTGCGTCCTCTCAAGCTCCCCTAAAAATAACCCGGTATGTTACTTTATCCTCAACAGTTTAATTGCGTTGACAACTTACGGTTATATGACAAACCCCAATTAACTAGAGTTCCTTGACCACTACATTATTCCGTCTCCACAGAAAGGTAAATGAAGTGTTGGACTTCTAGTCAGCTTTCTCACTGTAAACAAACTAATCCTTCCACATCAGATTCATTCCCATTGGTGGATCGCTAACCGATTGGTTTTCCGCCAGCTTCCATTATCCGGCTAAACGGGAATGCTATTTTGTTCGTTCCCAGTAACCTTTGTTTCGTTTCACTCGTTATAACGATGTAACTCGGAGACCGTGCCTACTTGGTGTGCACCAAGAAGTGCAAAACCAGTTGTGGGTTTCCAAAGCGTTTTCAGAAACTTTATAATTGATGCCATTATTGAATGAATTATAGCGAAACACTGCTTTTGCACTGTTATAAACGAAATATTCAAAGGAACTTCAGTTGATATCCCGTTAACACCAAGTTAATTTAGGAGCCAGTGTGTCATTCTACTTACGAACCACTTGCAAGTCATTTGCAAATTTTTATGTGGAGTTCACAGTCTTGATTAACCTCAATGTGGATAAAACCGGTAGTGGAGTGACAATGAGTGTTCAGCAACTTTAAAAATATTGTTAGGAAGCCATAGCATACAGAGCCGACATAAACCACCTAAAGACTATTTGAAAAACTGGCATTTTGTGAAATCAACCCCAAACATGAAAACATAGTGACCCATCATTCGTCCCGATTGGAATTGGTGCAAAACATGCAACAATACGCTCAGATTTACTCCACAACCGTCAGTCAAGCACTGCGGGTGGAATATGTACAATAAACATTGGAAAAAATGATGAAAAGACATCGGGGTACTTCCACTAACAAATTCGGAACAAGCATGCACACTCGACATTGTGACAGAATTATTTGACATAATTTTGGGGTTCAAATTCTTCTGAGACCTACTACCAGCTCAACAAATGCGAATGGATATTTGCGGGAATGCCAGGGCACGTGAGTACAACCAAGCAGCATGAAACGGCTATAGGAAGAGCATGAAAATGGAATTTTCGGATGTACAAAGCATTGAGGCGTGAACATAAAAGGTAGGTTAAGGTAAACATGAGATCTTGTAGCGTTCCACTTACAATGAAGGGTTGAAAACATACGGCGTAAGGTCAACAGAAGGAAGAGAGGAGATGAAGTATGCAGTATAACGAATTTTGTAACCAATTGACGATTTCGCAGTGAATTAGTTTACTAAATACCAGGTACAACAGCCGTGGTACGCACAGCTTACATGACAGCGCCTTCACCGGTTTCGTAATGCTTAAATCGCGATTGTTTGTTGTTTGACAATGGTTAGTCTCTGTGGTTGGAATACCGAACAATTTCAGTCAGCTAGTTCCCTAAGCAGTCAACCACATTTTTATCAAATTCTAATACATCCAAACCTTGTTTGAAGTCGGGCAGCTAGTAACTCTTGTTTTCACACTCAAGCCAATCACCTTGAAACGATCATTAACGAGAGATTCACCTAATAATTGATTGGGTCACCCGTTAAATGAGTTAAATTTGTAAACGATTATATAGCTCCAATTGCATACAATAAAGTACTCAGGTAAAAAAATGTGATATTTGGAAACCAAAGACTTGAAAGCAATCGAAACCTGTAATGGACCCTCAAAAACATTGGATTAGCCTTACAAGTAGCGCTGCGCCAGTCTATGAAACTCATATTTGTACCTATATGGTGAAGGATGCATCGATTTCGCAAAACGTTTTGTACGTTAACTGTCCAGTCGCTCAGTGAACTAGATGTCAACAAAAAAACTAAACTTTTTCTAAGATAATGGTGATCATCAAATCATTCCTGTTCTGAATAATCTACCTGACAAGCGGATAAATCACCTCCTGATAACTTTAAACTTTTTCATCCCAGCTCGCAAATCATAATAACGCAAAAAAAAACTCGGAGCTATGGTGCAACAAGACAGTCCGCGTGCACTAAGCACAGTGACGTGCCTCCACAGTCAAACTAACTTCTTGTGTATTCTGATGTGGCGGAACCTTGGTCGCAGGAAAAAAATATATTATTTTCCCCTCATTATACTTTAAAATCTTATTGGGAATCGGACGCATACATAACCAGCAGGCCATTCTGCTACTTCGCTTTTGCTAAGCGGCTGTGAATCAATGCGCAGCTGTAGATGATAAAGTTTCATCCCGCGTGGATAGGGTGGATAAGAGAACCATAGCCACGCGTTGGAGGCAGCGGAAATACCCGAGATATCATCATCATCATAATCATCATCAGCTGTAATAACCGCGTACTTGTAGTACAGTGATTGTAGCTGCCATGCAACCACATGCAGAATTCCGTTTTGGGATTCATTTTCCATTCGCAATTTCCCACATTGAAACACACTTATAGCGAAATCATCTCACTGTACGTTAGATGGACGGTACTTCCATCATCAGACACTGCGTAGCCGTTGTCCTTTCTTTGTAGCTGTATTTATCTCGAAGCATACGAATTCTGAGAAGGTTAACCGCGGCACGATGCTACAGAAATTTCCACACTGACCGAATGACTCAACCGGCCAAACTCCAACGCGGGAAACAAGCCCCCCGGAAGAGTTTGTTTGAACTCACTAGTGTTCTCAAGTGATAGGCCCGATGTCTTCGCAGCATTGCCCGAATCGGGTGGGAACACCGGATCAGCCATTCTGAAGTACGTCAAATGGTATTCTGGAGATATAACTCACCCTCGATAGATGAACTGATCACACTGCATAGGTTGCGCTGGTTTGGCCACGTGTTGCGTATGCCAGTAGACCGACTACCACGAAGGGCTCTTTTCGCCCAACCACGTGAAGGGTGGAAGAGAACCAGAGGCGGTCAAACAATGACTTGGCAGTGAAGTATGAAAGCCATTACCAGCAAACTCAGTTGCGCTGGTCACTGCCATCTTCCTGGATGGGGACCTCGAGACGGGCCACATCAATGGCTAGAGACAATGTCAGACTTGGCCCAGCCGCGCCCTCAATAGCGCTCGTGCATCCAAGCTATTGCCTTCAATGCATAGCTCCTTTTCCGACCCTTCCCCCCCACTTGACAACCTACTGACAGTGCTGGATTTATGCACCAATTTATCAGCTCCCGCTTGCAATGCGCAGCTATCTACCCCTTCCCCTAAATCATCGGTGAACGAAACTGCGGCAGCTACAACCACTGTACGACGAGTACGCGGTTAGTACAGCTGCCAATGGTGATGCTGATGATGATAGGCCCGATATGCTTTCCCATTTGGGAACGTACTCCACAGGACACCAATGCTGTGGGTCCCAATTATTTGTTTTGAACATATGCACGGGTGCACTTCGAATTAGAACCTCCAAGGTAGAATTAGTGGCCGGAGGAATCATTCAGTAAGCGGGACTGTCAAACCCCGATAACCAATACTATGTGAGATTTTTCTAAATCGCTGATGGTTCACTCATGTTGCGGTTGAAGATAAATTCCTTAGATATGATGATGATGATGATGATGATGATGATGATGATGATGAATAGAATGATCCGAAAAGTGTGAACAGCAGGAATTTATGAGGAGGTTTAAGAAAATTTGCAACAAAATCGAATGACAAAGCTGTGGAACACATGCTACCGTCGTGTGGCCATTGTGATTCCTGGCGCCAGTAACCGAATGAGGTGAACCAATACCATCCAGCGACGCATACCCAGTTGCCGCTACCGGACTGCAATGGCTTGGATAAATGAGTACATGTTGACGAGCATCCTATGAGCAACAGACTATCGCGCAATAAATCAAACTGAACGATTCAACCTATTTGATCTGTGATTGATATAGAGCAAATGGGAGAAAACACCCTTGCCACGCTTCCTTGCGTAGCATTTGCTCAAAATCCTCAGAGGTTCGTGCTCGAGATGTTGCCTTCTCAGGGCAAGTTCAACCACGTGATCAAGGTCGCTCCATCCTAATTGATCTGTAAAGATCACATTTATGCGATCGACGCATTCACTGACTTTTTGAGTGCCACCAACCAAACACATTGCATTGATTTCTGAAAAGGCGATCACAGCTCCACTGCGGCAACGTAAATACACCATTAAATGCATTGATCTAGCATGACCCCCCATCATCGCAATCAAATTGGATATACGATGTCATCGAATAAATGATTAAATTTACGATTAATAGAATTAATATTTTCCTTTGCTTCCTAACTGTTCTGACGCATCACACATGATGAGATTATATCGATATGATTGTGAAGTGTACTCTAAAATACACCTCCTAAAAAGCTAGGACTAAAAGTTTTGACAGTTTTAATTGTGCACCACTCAAACTTTTGAAGCACTCAAAACAGCTTGAAATTTGGCCAATAATAGGCGCTCTTTAAATTGATGAGGCAGAGATAATCACTTAGTTGCTAATATTAGTACTACCTTTATTCCTCTCTCCCTGGGCAAGGCATTTTCTTTGGTGGCGAGTCAAAGGAAGTGAAAAAACCCTCAACTTGTATGCTAAAAATGCCAGGTATTGTGCATATTAGCGTAGCTTTTTGTGTTCACTGGGACTGCACAAGGAAAAAAACTATTAGAATTTCCCAATAATAAATTTTGGATTGGATATTTAAAGCATTAGCAGTGTTACAACATTCTATACTAGCGATCCAAGTTACTTACATTCAAATTTATGCGTAATTGCATCATTTGGAATGACTTGTTTTTGCGTCAAGCAGAACTTGACACGATTTCGATATCTTTCGATATATGGGAGGATGTGCACTGTGTGGAATAGGTTGTTGGGAACTACTGGTTTAAAACATAGGGTTAAAGAACTTGGAAATTTAGTTACAGATGTGCACTCTAGACTTCGATGGAGAACGTAAATCCGCAAATCTAACTAATGCTGCACAGCAGTACACATTTATATGACTGGAATAGCTAGCTGATGGGTTGAGTAGTGTCATTAAACATGGATGGTTTGGCAGCAAAAAGATGCCCTGTTGAGTAGGGAACTGGACTTAAGAGGAATGATACAAAACTGGAACCTCCTGCAAACTCATGCGTGACAGAAAACATTGGTCAGTATGACCGCTTAACTGAACTAGTATCACGATTGAAGGATTCAAATGACAACCAATCAAAATGCGAACTGGTGTTGATCAAAAAACAAATAGAGCTTTTGCTATTTGAGAGCAGCACGCGACCGTCGGCTCGATGTATTCCACTGTTGGTTGCTGTTGTTTATGCATGGTTGAACACGCAAACAGGAGTTCGAAATGTCTGCGAACCATACAACCGAATTGAATAAGCTGATTCTTGAACGAAAAACAAAACCCGATATCGGATCTTATTGAGATATATGTGGGTATACTTAAGTACAATCAGTCATGCTGTTGATGAGGATGATGATGATGAAACTAAATCAGTAGTCAAACTTAGGTCGCTTTTATGTCTAAACAATCAAAACAAATAGATGTTTTTTGAATATAACGGGGAAACAGTTCGCCGTTTTTTAATAGACACCCGATAAAAGTTTGTGAACTTTCGTCGAACAAACAGTTGGCGCAAATGACACCGAATAAACGGAAGGACGCGACAGGCTACTTGGGAAAGAAAAGCAATCACGGCTACCTCATTGATGGACGGTTTCGCTCAATTGCATGACCCACCGATGTCGTGCTCGGTCGATTTATTCGTCGATTACTTTCTGACGGAGCTCAGCAGCCTTATTTAGACACAGCTGTCGGGTATGCATTATTGACAGAATATTTGTTTATAGGTAGGTGATTAGTAAAGTACTGGTACCTGAACATATCACGAATCTCAGATAAACAATTTATAGCGTCCATTATAGTCGTTGAATAGATTTGAACCCGATCTCCTTTTTGGTCGTCCTTTTTGGCACATCCTTCCAGCAAAAGAGTTACTTAATCAGAAAAAATACAAAAAGTGAGGATAATTTCCATCGCAACGCGTTTAACGGCTAACTCAGAGAGCTTTGGAGACAAAGCTTTTAAAGTAACGGCTTTTTTAAAACGTTGAAGGAATTCAGGTTGTCTGTCATTTTGGCTGCATCCTACTTAATCCGTTGTCAAACAACAATAATAGATGACCATGGAATGGTTTTAAACAATTAACCCTAATATATTCAGAGAGCTATTTCAAATATATATATATATATATATATATTGAACAAAACAAAGCTGAACCCAAAGTGCACGAAGCCTCGATGGGGTGGTGGTCCTACAAGCTCTCACAACAAATATTTAAACACAAATGAGATCTGTGCATTAGATTAACGACGCAGATAATTATATCGTATAATAAGTCACATCGGCCGAGACAAAAGCCCTCATATATATTGTTGTCACATTAGGTTTAATCCATAATAAGATCCATAATTTTGATATTTTCAAGACAGTTCAGATGCACGCGATTTATATCAGAAAACAGATCAGAATTGTTCGTCCGAACAAGAAGCACTCGCGCCAGACGGTCCGGATGATTTTGAAGAAAGCAACTCAGAAAAAACACTGATACATTGTTTAAAGTTAGACAATCGCAAAAGGACAGAGTAAGGCTAAAGTGAAAAACTATACCCCTAAGAAAGTTTACATTTGACAAATGATCCAATTAAAAGGGCATATAAAATGGCACTATTTTGCATGCATACGGATTAACATCGTGGCAAAAGACAGAACATTTACCTCAGGAAAACCATTCATCAACAAACACCACAAAATATACATAACAGATTTGTATTCGTTTCTAGTTTTAAACGAAACAGGGACGGTGTTGTGGATCTGATCCAGACTGGAGTTGTGAAATTAGGCGCTATTAACATGACTAGAGTAGTGGACGCTTTACATATTCAGACACTTTAAAACCAACCCAACATTGAGATCGGCAGCGCGACAAAATTTCCGGCCATTCACTGTACCCGGGGAATTTATACCGAACCATCCGGTATAAGAGTAAGTCTGATGGGTCTGTTTGTTAGAAAAATTACCGTGGATGCTTAATAAATCAACAGGTGGCCCGGTTTGGGAAACATAAATTCCAGGGGACACAAGTAATAAACTCACCGTGATGCGTTTCCGGGGGTTGACTTCGATCATTGCTCGTAATAAAGATTGACAGTCAGGAGATACAAAAGGTGGAATGTGAAATACGCCCTTCTTCACTTTTTCCAGCAAGTTTCGAAGGTTGTCGTCATCAAAAGGCAGAGCCCCCTGAGAAAAAAGGGTTAAAAATTTTAGATGAAACAAAATTAGTGATGTATTACATGCGTAAAAACTGTGTAAGGGCACGTCCTAACTCACTGAAACCTTGTTTTAAGCGACTAATACTCTTGCAGTTGGTTGACAATAAACAACCACAGAAAAACGGTGGGATAGCACTAGTTTGCCGGTAAATTAGGATATCCGGGCTATTAAGTGGAGAATTGTCATACACGAGGACGTCACCAAATGCCAGAACAAGTTGCCTAACATAAATAGTAGTACATTGGGTGCTAAATGAATGTAACATGTCCATCCGTTTCAACAGTCAACAGACTAAGTATAGGACATCTACATAGCGCGATCGTTTTGATTATTGAAACCCTGATACATAACGAGAAAGTGATGATCACGCGAGAAATGGATGAATGGATATGAGGAAATACATCAGTGGATCTCGAGCTCTTTTGAGGAATCAGAACTGTTTGATATCCAATTTAGTTAACGCTTCGAACAAATCTGTAGGCGATCTGAAATAAAACGTTGTTGATGCTTCCATGGTCCAATGGATAAATGGCTTTACCGTTTCTCCCACTCAGTAAACACTTCCTGCAATTTGCACTTTAGTGTAAGTATTTGGGCTAATGTGATTCCCATTACCTACGTCAGTTTGATTAAACATTGGTTGGCGTGCAGTCTCCACGATACGGGTAAATCTGCTTACCTGCTGAACGTTTAAAGTGAGACCAACNGCAATCAATCAATGTGAACTCATCAAAATGAGTAGTACCTATTAATAATTCAGTAATAAATTTGCAGAATAGCCTTCTCTGCAAACGAAATATAAAGGATCCGCCATTATTGTACCAGGCCGTGGAGGTATCGCTCCCAGAAATGGCATCCCGCGAATTCGCAGGCTTGATCTCGGTAGCGAATCAAAATCTCAGATCTATGTTTCATGTCGCTGTGAGTTGCTGATGACTGAACCTCGGAAAGACATTTTTCGTAGTTAGTTGGAGACTGCCTGACAAACGGATACTGTGAACTCCAACTTTTCTGAGTTCCTCAGTCTAACGACGATTGATGCTCGTACATACACCTACCACAAAGGCACCAATTGCTCTTTTTGTCTGAGAGAAATAAATTCGCGTTTCTACGGGCATTTCTTGTCATTTTTATAAACATAGCTCTTCCAGAAGAACCATATAAAATTACAAGCGCACTTATTTTCAGAGAAGCACCGAAGTCTCTTCAGGTGTAGCAGTCTACATAAACCTCTGACGAACTTCGTCATTGTGAAACAATGTAGTGTTATAGGTAAAGGCTTCCCACATATTGCGCATTATGATTCTGTGAGTCGTGAAATGTAATTGAGGAACGTATTTGACGAATTTCAGCCTACCCCAAAAGGGCTGAACATGTGCACCTACCAAGACTCGAATACAATCTGCAGGCGGTAACACCAGCCAGCTGCGCTAGGGTTACCAAATACAATGTTTGTAGGAGCAAACTACACATTAAACCCGTGACCAGCTAGCAAAAATGCTTTTCAATCGTATGTAAACGCATCCGATTCTAGTCAACCGACCGTAATTTCTGACGTGCGAAGAGTCAGTGTGCTTTTGTTTGTTTCCGCTCGCATAGCAATACAGATGAATGACAGTTGGACGAATCATGCATATTTTCTCCCAAAGAAAGCACCAGCGAGAAAGATCGTTTGGCTACTTTGGTCGCATCAGACGTGTTGCAAGCCCATTGATTAGATAGTTGCGGCATTTCATGTGCGTTATTTACGTAGTTCTATCTAGACCACTGGTAAATGCTAAGGTATTTTATCTGCCATTTGCAAATCAGCTTATTGTTATAGGACCCGATTGAAATGGAGAACGTTGCTTACAAGAATCTTTGGAATGAGAATGGCTCTTCTACGACATAGTGCTGAATCCCCGTGTTCCGTAAACTCAGCTGATTCACATTACCCTACACCACGCGACTAACTAGGTTTCATCCAAGTGAGTTCGGCCGATTTACTAGAACTCTTCAGCTGGTTCACTCAATCGACAAAGGCGTCCATCAGTATGAACAAAAAAGTTCAGGAGAACAATGGCTTAGTGTTAATATGATGTAGCCAAGATAATAATGTCACCTTTGCCTATACTTGGTCAAGCGGCTTGTAGGAATGAGTAGTTGTCTACTTCAGACTAAACTTTAAACACGCATGCCAGTGGTGGAGAACATACAAGCATGTATGATGGGTTTAGCAACCACATTCCACAAAACTGTAACTTTGGAAACTGGTTTGAGTGATACTTGGGTGTGTCCGAAATCCAATAAGTCGTGTTTTTTGCTAAAATTAAAAGGATACGATCGATGTCGTTGGAGCTCCCGATATGACAGAAACCTATAATCACCCTCATGTAATGTACGCCCATTCAATTATCTACACTAGACTCCCCACCAGTCACAAAACATACAATGGATGTGTTTCGAGGAAAAACATCCTACTTTCTGAACAGGAGGCGAGTGAATTAATGAGATACCTTTTTCATTTATCGTTTTACTGACCGATGCTTTCCTAGGAGCAGTCCGTCGTATCAATCGATATACGGCACGACTGTTTTCGGTAGCAAAAGCCTTCTCGTAGGCATTCGACTTCCACCGGAGCTCTTGGTCTTTCCTTGAGCTCTTCACTATTTGGCGCTTTGAGGTATTTGCGTGCACTGTTGCCTGCTGGTATGGAGTTCCCAACATCAATCATGGATAACGATCTCGGCGACATCCAGTAGCCTTGTGGTCAAATCGGCGAAATCGGGCAGACAGCACTGAACGCCGCTAACAAAGGTTCTTTCGCATTTTGCTTCAACCACATGCTTACTACCACCACACCATTGGTTTAATGTGGGGAGTTGCTGGGCCGGCTCAGATCGATACTGTTGGGCTATGGTCGTTTTTTGAAGATGGTAGGTTAGCATGATTTTTGCTGACTCGCAAGGGTCAGACTCTGAACGAACTGTCAGGCGAGCACGCACTATGGCGCGATCGGAATCAAGTTGTGTGTTCCAGAAGATACGACAGTCTTGAACTCTAGCTCTCCACCAGTGGCTGATGGTCACGTGATATAACCGGGCTTACGGTTGATTTGCAGTCGGTGGCCGCGATTCGGAGGCTTATGATGAAAGTTCGTATATGATCACAGCACAACTGGGGAAGTTGCCCTCCGTTGTCTGTGCGGCCAGAATCGACTCCAAATCAACACCCAAATATGATTCCCTGGAGTTCAGGTGACTGGTTTAGGTATTCATATCTCCCCCAAGGGTCCTAATGTCAGTGTTTCTCGTTTGACGAATAAGCCCGGATAGCTCTTCGGCATCAGATCTGCAGTTTGTTGGAGCATAAGCTGACCACAAACAGGCATTGATTTTTATGTTAAGAGGCACTGAGCTTGATTGAGCACCAAAAAGCCAACTTTTCACCGGGATTTAATGCGGTAAAGCGCTTTCAGCTCTTGGGCTGAGTGCAACTCCTATGCGATACATTCCACGAGTCATCGCTTCTGGATCTCCGGACACGTGAAGGAAGAAATGCGAATAAGCGGAGTTTTCCTTGGCGTTTTGAGATGTCTAATCTCGTTTGAGTTCTGTATTCCATTTTCGGAGTCACACCACACATCAATTTTAAACGAGTATGACATTTCAGCGAGTATCCCATGTTTACCAATTTGACATAGGATACGGAGGTTAAAACCTCCTATGTAGAAAGGATCCTGCGAATTTAGAAGGGTTGTATTTTTTATTGTTATTAGGCAGCGGGGCAAATAGGGCCCATTGCTAAAATGACTGACAGTCAAAGGACGCAGCAACTTTTGCTTGCGTGTTGAGAAGTGGTCGGAGCGGGACATCAGTATTTCGATAATTCCCGGTTGCTTAGACCGATGAAGGCTTGAGTGAGGTACCCAACCTTGAGCATTTGATTCAAAAATCTGATCCACAGGGCGATGGATAGTAGAAATTTCTTATGGGACCGTTCCTGGAACCGATGGCTCAATTGTCTGACCTGCTCAGCTGAAGGAGGTTGGCCTAACCCAAAGGTACATGAAGTAAGGCATTACTGTCTCACACCTGATGCGGCTGCGTGCAGCAAGTGAATTCTGAGTAGCACCAGACTTTGAGTTTCAAAACATTTTGGCCTTATTCAGTGCTCACGGTTAGACTTTAAGCGATCAGAAAGTGCGGTTTTTGGCACCGACCTTGATAGAGCAACAAACCGTATTTCACTAGAAAATCTTGAAAAGAAATTCGGTTCTCTTGTTTTGGTTTTTTGGAGTAGTAAAAAAACCCTAGACAACGCAGGTAAGGGTACCATGAAGTGTAACCTTCGACATTCCCTCATCATTCATTTTGCTACTGCTGAGAAGGACCCAGCAATTCCGTTGAGTTCTGAGATATTAAACAGTTGAAATTTTAATATGTTGTGTTATAATTGGTTAGGACTTGCTTTTTTCTCCACCTGAGTTCACCGTCTGAGCCACCACATTACATTACTCGCCACCAACAAGACTAAAGGCAATATTCATTCTAAATACTACTTCAAGCCGAGTGAGAAAAGATAAACTCAGGTCTCAAAGATAAACTTTGAAACCTATCCACACACATATACATTTGTTCAGACCTCACACACGTGACCCAACCAGAAAATTTTCAGCGAATCTTCTTCACTTTGTGTGCACCGGCGCCACAAGGCTATCGGGTAGATCAGGTGGCACGTTCTGGGTAAACGAAGAACCACGCCAAGCTCAGATTCACTCCCCACACCGAACCGAAATCCGTCAATAAAAACTACCACGTGATTGATCGGAAAACGTTCTTACATCAAATTTTCCAGAATCATCCACGCAGGAATAAAACTATGGTCTATAGAGATGGATCGGCCTGGTTATGGGACCGGAAATGTGAGCGTACGGTTGCGTGGTCCATGGGAGAGATTTAGCACAACAAAGGGCAGAGTGGAGCGTGGATGCACCACTTACAGGCTTGATTTACTACTGCAACAGCGAGTAGTACCGCGTACACTGCTCTAACTGGTCGGACACTGGCAGTGAAGAAGTGAACGTTCATCTGAATATCCACCAGCTTTTACCCCGCCTTACGTCTTACGGTATGTGTATTCGTACAGATACTTATTTATTGGGGCAGTCCCCGCGTTTCCTGTCACTGAATCACACAAAATTCGCACGTCAAGCACCAAGTTCTTTTCCCCAACTAGTTCCTATGCACATCTCTCTCGTCCGCTTTTTGCCGTACGTACATTTTGTGTGCCGACCATACGCACGATTGCCGGCTATGATGACGATGATGAATCATCTGAACAGGAGTACGTTTGGACAAGCATAAAATGAGATAAACGAACACAAAACGCCAGAATGCCCCCAAAAACCAACGCAATCGATTGTGTAGTGTGGGTAATTTGGGTACCAATTGCTTACCTGTAACATAAGTAGAGATTTTTGGGCTAGCGCAGATGAATGAAAGTGAGCTACTGTTTCTAGTGCACGGTCTACGAAGCGCAACGATGGACAGTTATTGATCCTATAAATTAGGGGTTTGCTCCATAAACGCAAGTGATGTAACTGTTAGTAAATCTCTTAGCGGCATCAGATACTGTGTAGGTAGGAACATAGGTCTAATATACTTGTGTTCAGAACAGCATTCGTTTTTATCTTCTTTACTTGTGACCCGAGATTGACAAAGTCAGTAGGCATGCGCGCAAATTGGTACTACTCGGGTGTGTATGCGATCCGATAGTGTCTAGTTAAACCCAATGCCTTGCAGTCTATCAAAGATTGATAGGCCAAATTATCATGAAGGAACACATCGATCGTGCCGAAAATACCGTATAGGGAAGAAAGTAGGATTGGCCGTGTTCATGTTTAGGTTGTATTACTATCAAGTAAGACCCAATGAATTTTGGCAAGTACGTAGGACGGCAAAAAGAAGAATCCAGGCAAACTAGAACTATTGAATATATGGGGATAAGAAGTCCTTCAAAACGGCCACTTTAGACGTTAGAAGCATGCGGAAACCACACGCTCCGCGTGTACGTAACAGATTTTTGGTCTTTAGTCCAAATACCTGGGGAACTCGTTGCTTAGGCTTCTGGGAAATTCGGCACCACCCAGACGTAGTTGGCATTACAAAGGGCAAACTGCTATATCATACCAGTGGCTCTTCGTAGCTAAGTGCATAGCACTAAATTTAAAATCCAATACTTTAGAAACCACGAATAGGTTGTGTGAAATCTCTCACTTTTCAAAATAAGCACGAATTTCACTATCACCGACCGTTATTACCGAACCTGTAAGGAACGTTTTGCGCTAAAGGAAAGTTTCAGTTGTTTGGTTTTAAGCAATCACGGATAATTGTCATGTTCGGTATGTTCAACAACAGAGAGCATGCAAATGCATGCAACTATTTTGAGCACAATTGGTGTAAAAGAAATCCATATTACCAAAAGATGAATGGCAGGTCGGAGACAGGTACAACGCGAGAGCGGACAATTGGCCAGACGATCAAACGGTAGACCAGTGGCAGATGAGTCATGCTAACAAGAGAAAATCTACAAACAGATTCATCGAGGGTCTCTATAAATGTGTTCACGCTACGGGTTGACACTACATTTTAAATGTCGCACTTACCACAAGTAACGCATAGAGAATAACTCCGCAAGACCACACATCCGCCATACGTCCGTCATATTTTTCTCCCTGTAATTAGAGTGAGTCGGATTTACGCTGACGTAAGTCTTGATGAAGACACATTTGTCTAAAGGTTGGCAGTAACCTAAATTTACAAAATTAGTCATCTGGTGAACGAAACCATGCAGGGTCCTCATCATTGTGTGCAGGACAACAATCGGTTTTATGTAGGGAGGAGCAAGTGGCAGTGAGAGGGAGTAGACGACAGACTATATCCCATCATGCTCTATGCAGCTGCAGAAAAAAGCAATACTGGATGTGAGGCTGAAATGGGGAATCGAAGTGGGGGTGTGGGGGTTCTACATTGCATGCGGCTTACCCGAATTACCTCCGGACAGGCGTAGTGGGGTGACCTTAACGGCCAAACAGATTGAGCAAGATAGTTTGATATATGAGATGTGGCAACAGTACTACAAACATGAGCCGCGTCGGTTCATAAAAACTCAGATGAACTTATTTTCTCTTACCAATGAGGGTCCCAAACGTTTGTCTTCATGGACATAGTCACACGGATGTAAAAATATGAGGTTTGAGGACCCAAATAATTAAACAATAATTGCAAAATAATTACATAATAATTTTACAATAATTATACCGACTTAAAGAAGTCAGATCGATAGATATTTACTGCAGATGATCAGCTGGCCAAGATCAAGAATCAAGCAATATCGCTGACAAATTCATTAACAGGTTCAAATGCATCATCACACTACAGGGTGGGATAACGTGTCAATGTATTGAAAAATGGTGAATACACTCACAGAGGACTAAAAATAAGACGACGGTGCTCTTAGTAGGGAACATTGAGATCGGCAACCCAATAAAATGAAATTCTCAACACACAGTAGAGCTTTTCGAAAGGATTTTCGTGCTTTTCTTGTGGGGATCTAATTGTCTTCGATTACACATGAAAATCCTGCAGGACATGACAAGACCGGTTTTAGTGACTGTCAGCTTGTAGTCCTATTACCCAGCTACGATTTGTCTGTTTTTCTTGGCCATACTCTTGTGTGATAAGATTTACAAACGATGTTGGGTTGCTCCGACTTGCTTGCTTTGACGTGACGTCCATTTTCTGCCATTTCAGACTGCAGGTACAGTGTTTCTGATCATGTTTTTTACATAAATGCAAGCGTGAATGTGCTCAGTCTGAAGCCATTCACTTTCTTGCAACACATCAATAAAACGCTTCTCACTATGGTAGACAAACATCAATAGCTACTACTAGCTGTCTATGAAAAGGATGACGAAAGTAAAGCAAGACCAATTTTAACCTCTGCGTTGCAACGTTAAACGTGGATGAGATTTTTTGAAACCTGTAACAATAAAACCACTCTAGCATACAGATGGCATGAGAATCGATGAGAGGCTTTGTTAAAGGGTACACTGCGTTTCATCTGAATATGGCCAACAATGATATGCTCATCTAAATAGCCACCCATAAAATCTTTGAGTGGTTTCTTCCATCTACTCGGAAATCAGCAATAGCATAATCGATTTAGCAGAAGAGAACTAGGATTTCAGCGAACTGACAAATCTCCAGTAACTCGGATACAACTTGCATTCTGCTTTAAACTTGCGGCAGAAACACGCAGGATACATAGGGTATATTACTTTAACCCCAGGAAACCAACTCATCTACGATACACTGGAGTTCAGATGCCGGACCAAGTGTGCGGACATTCGGCTTTGGACAAAAATAGTTCAGCGTACCTGTCCAGCTTTCAAGCAGTCAAGCGCTCCAAAAGGGCTGATACAGTTCCGATATGCGTCACCCTTACTTCCAAATCACCATCGGGAACGTTAAAACATTCAGGATGAAGCAGGATACTTTATGTGCTTCCAGTTCAGTTGTAAACGGGCACCTCAGATTTACCGAGCACAAGTAATATTAACTGTGCCTTAGAGATAGACCGTGAAAACTACTAAACCAGGGTAAGAACGGTTCCTGTGATTGCAACCCTTCGGTGGATAAACCGGTTCTTGTACGATCAGCCTCATTTTATTTTATCGTTTTTGAATCTTTCAGGATCGGGCATATCAGTCGATCCTAATGAAACCTGGTTAATTTTCCGTAGTTCCATGGTATAGTGAGACATCGGTTACCCGATCTCCAAAGAAAGTGCACTAAACACGTCTATTCTGTGGGCCGTTTCGTATGCGTACAGCTCTTTGTGATATGTCTAGCACCTGGGGCAGCTGTTCAGAAGCGCCGATACCGCTCGGGCCTTGGTGGAACGATGAATGTACTGATGGAAAAGCACGGAATACAATACCATTGTATGCTTAACCAAAAAATGTGTGCGGATAGAAGTGAGTGAAGGAAATACCAACAGAACAATCTTTCGCGCACTAGTAGAGAATCTTTTCCCAGACCAACTGGATTGTAAGAATAAGGAAGTGTAATATGCACCCCGTCAGACGCAATTCGCTTTTTAACTGAACACATTGTTCTACACACTGTGTCGCAGTATACTTCTACTGAGTGACAACAGATGATTTGTTTGAATTCGTTGGATTACAATCTGCAAGTGGACTGTTATGGACCCTACAGATGCTAAGCATAGCGATGTCAAAATATCGATTTATCATGATCAAGAAGCCTGTGTAAATCAATGTCTGAATGTACGTTTGATCCTATTTGTGCAGCACTTAGGTTTCTCACGGCAAAAGGCTGAGGTTTCTATCCACTGACTTCGGTTTGACCAGTCAATAACAATAATTTCACTATCGATATTATACGATGATCTATTAGTGGGTTTGAGTAGTACAGAGAAGCCAACAGAAATGCGCTTCCGAATTCAGAATGTGAACGGTACGCTAAGGACCCAGCAACCCCGTTGACAGACGCGTCTGTTGTCGTTCGCAATAAGCCAGAATGTTTTTGAACTTGCTGCACTCAGTAGTCATTTGTATTATCGGCAAAAACAGTGTTGACATTCCCAGAAAGTTTTTCACACTGCGTACGACCAGGCAACCTGTGGATACCTGTAAACGTGAGATTACTCATACTCTTTGTGATAAGCTTGGAACTTTACGTGTTCCAAAAATCGTACCAAAAAGTGAGATTCCATATTTCTGCGGAGAGTGCTGTAGGAGGACGGCAACTAGTTTGGGATAACTTCCTGCACATTCTTCTCACCTTAATTAATAGGCCATAAACTACGCGGGTTCTTGCGACGTTCACTCAGTACGTGTCGTATTCATCTACAAAAGACCTGGTGTCGATTATCTCCTTAATTTTCTTGGCGTGACTAGGTCCACGTCTCCTGTTTCGGAACAATTTGAAAATTTCCATCTGGGTGGGTGCCTTGATTGGTTCATGTGCAAGTATTTAATTATTGTTTCGTGATTAGCTTGAAGAATTCGGAATGTTCATTTACAACATAGGACATTTAGATAATTTGCTTAGTCAACACCCTAAATTGGTTTTGGCAGTAGATTTAGAGGGATTTTAGTGCTATAAAACGATATGAAAATGATGTTTGTTCCCAACACCGTAAATCATATACATGGAAAACACCGGCGTATGTTGAACAATGGAGGCTAATGTTTAGGTTTTCTCCAGTATTTGAATAATGTAACAAACCTGAACAGAACATCTATTTGGGCTCTCCACAGGCTACCAGAATCAGTTTACTTTGTTCAGATATTTTGCTGTGATGGAAGAATCTATATAATCTGTTCACATCGACCATAAAGAGGGTAAGGTATACTCTTCTTCAAAGTTACGTTGTTAGAACTGATCATTGGCCAACAATATATGATAATTATATGTGATGTATAATAATATAATATACATAATAATATAAAGTAATGTATATAATCTATGATGCTTATGGACTTTATGTGCAGTGTTACATTGGCAACTTCAAATCTCGAATCATGACAACACTTTTCAATACAGTGGACACCATTCAACAAGATCACGTGGCGATTCATGCATCAATATCCCACCAAATTCTGTCCTGCTTCGTAATGAACAACGAAGGTTGAATACACGTGACCATATTTGAATCGTGACACTCGCTTCCTCAAATATCTACCGTCTTTCTTTGCATACACAGCCATAAAGATACTTTATATTTCTGTACTTAATTTGATTATTATTTTCCTCAAAAAACTCCATTTTTACCTGAACTTAGAGAGCAAATGCGGAACATACATTGAAATAAAAAACCAGACGCCAAACATCTTTGTTCTAGGCTTTAGTGATGAAAGATCGACCAAGTGAAAGACGCCGTTCTGGTTCTTGTAACAAAATAATGATTAGGTGGCTCAATGTTCCGGTCGATCATAATGTTAGCTGGCTCTCAAAGTCTCGAAACCTTTAGTACACTTGTCTACGACTGGTATATTGACGAGTTGTGTGCGCAACGCAGCTACGTTCAACTTTCATTTTCATCTAAAGCTGCTCCACCACTAAACTTAAAACGATGAGACTGAAATGGGTCTACTAAGGTCCATATCGTTATTGAATACGTACGCGTTTGTGAAAGCTAACATGGTGGGTACATAAAAAGCAAGAACACGATGAATAGATTGCCAACCACTTTAACCGCGAAAAGAACTTCCCATAGATTTCACAAAGGACATTATTCACACTGTTGCTGAAAACTGTTCGACCGGTTTCGCCATTACTGAGGCTCATCTAGTAGTACTCCATTTCATGTTGTTCACAGTGAAAGCCTTGTCGATATAGCTGTTCAGCTAGCCTGACGCTTGTATATATAGATTGATGGCTGGCTGCCTTTTAGAAGCACTGAATAACTAATTAGCTACAACCACAGACAGATATGCTCCTCCGGATTGGCTCGGTTCTCCAAAACTATTCTTTTTCATCGGATGGTCGTGGCCGATGAGGGACTTGTGCAGCCAGTCCTGAAAACATATCTCTCCGGCGATCGAAAAAAGATCGGACATAATTTTTTAACTCCAAAACGTACGGTTTAGATTAACCGGATATCTATGTATAATTCGTGCGTTCA